CAACTCAAATCTCTTATCAAACCTTGGCTCAAGTATCATCCATAACCTTGGCTACCAATTGATGGATCCTATCTCTGGACATAACTCCTAGAGAACTTTGTGGAGCTGATCTAAAGTACTGCTTGAGACTAACTCCTCAACCGATCCCTCTAACACAACTGTTGTGTTCTATCTTTCCAATTGTAATTGCTAGAACATACATCCTTCTACTTGGAGTCTCAAGAAGTCTCACTCACAATGGAAGAAAAGGGAAGAAGGAAGAAAGCAAATGGAAACTGTAAATAAAAGAACAAATTTGACCCATAAAGAGAAGAAAAAAGGGATCTCTAAAATGACATTAACAATCATGAAACTCCTCCACGTGATGGCCAACGACAAACAGCTTCAAGGTGATGATGTGGACTTCGGCGAATGACAACCTTGCTCCTGAATGATGGCAATAAGTAAAAGTGGAAGTTTTATCGCAAGAGAGAACTTGGGTAGAGAGAAATGAACCAAAAAGCAAAATAAAATTGGGATCGTTTCTTAGTTTCAACATCAGCTATAAATAAATTGATGTTGAAATATTCCATTTTTTTTATTTTTTATTTACTTTTTAGGTTTTTCATGTTGATTATGCACATAAAAAGCTTTACAATAATTAGGAACATGTCACCGCCTTTTTTTTTTTTTTACAATGGATATTTTTCACAATTGATGTTAAAAGGCTATATTAAAAAGTTTTTTTATTATTGAAGAAAAAAAGGTAGATCAAGACAGGCTATCGTGTAGGCATAACCGCATATTGTGATGAAGCGGAAGTGCATCCATTAAGCACAAATTCATGGAAGGAACTAGAATTTGGAGCTTCACAAAATACAACATTTTCATTACTATTAGTGCTAATAGAACTATAGTTTGGTTAGGAAAACAAGATTCTTGTCCTGTAGTAGTTTGTTTCAACACAGTGATGGAAGTGTTTACATTAGCACCAACACCATATGTGCGTCATTTTTATTGTCAAACTAGTGTTAGTGTGTACGAGAACAAGTTTGTTATATTTCAACATGGTGAATCTTGTGGCATGGATATGCATATATGGGTGTTGGAGGTTGCTATTGATGAATATGTGAGGATGATTTTGAGTTGTAGTGAAGAATATATTATCCAATCATTTTCGTGTGCTTTGTATCCATTTTGTGTTTGGAGAAATGAAATAGCACGCCATCATGAAGAATGGATAATGAAGGTGGAGGGTAAAAGAAAGAACTTTTATGGGAACTTCATTATTTTTTATGTCAATATTTGGGAAAATTTTTAGTCTAGGCCCTTTGACCACACGTAATTAAAAAAAAAAAACTCCTTAAACCCTGAAACTTCACTTCAAACTAAGGATAGTGAAGTGAAATTAAAATGTTAAGAGAAATGACAAAAATTAACCCTATTTTAAGTTAAAAAATAAAACCTTCTCCCTCTCCTCTCCTCTCCTCTCTTCAAAGGTGGTCAAGCAAGCTCCATAAAAAATTGGCATTCTAAAGCAGATATCAAATCAGACAAGTAAAAATAAAGAAATAGAAAGCATTGAATGAATATGGGCTTGAATTTAAAGATTTACGATTTACGATGTTGGAATAAAAAAAAAAAACATACCAAATCCAAAATATTAGGGTATGGATTGATCACTCAAAAAGTGAGAAAGCAAGAGAAGTATGAGTGAGACAAAGAAACACGAGTCATGGAGAAGGAAGAAGAACTTGAAGCTACGATAGGCAAATATGTGATAGTGATGGTTTTTTTTTTTTTTTGGGTGTATTTTCGAACAAATCATTGGATGGGAATGAACAAGTAAAGGTAAGGTTATAAACAAGTTGTGTTGAACAATTGTTGTAGGAAAATAAACAACTTCAATATAAGGAATTTGTAATATCATTTACTATGATAACAACACTAAGAATAAAATTAAGTGAAATTATGCCCATTAACAATTAACCATTTCAACACAAAAAATGAACAACTTTAGTATGTAGAATTTGCAAAAAAAAAAATTTTGGCCATCATAACAACATTAAAAATAAAATCAAGAGAAATTATGTATACAAAAAATTTATGTTGGAAAAGTAATCACTTTAATATAAAAAATGAACAACTTTAGTATGAGAAATTTGCTACTCTTTTTACCATGATAATAACACTAAAAATAAAATCAAGTGAAGCTATGGGCAACAACAACTCTTACAAGAAAATTAACCACCTTAGTATGGGACATGAGCAACTTTTGTATAGAAAATTTACAACTTTTTTTACCATGATAACAACACCAAGAATAAAATCAAGAAAAACTATACGCACAAACAATTTCTATAGAAAAAGTAACCATTTAATATGGAAAATGGAGAATTTTAGTACGAGAAATTTGTAACTCTTTACTATGATAACATTACTAAGAATAAAATCAAGTAAAGCTATGCACATAAACAATTCCTATAGTAAAAGTAACTACTTCAACATAGAAAATGAACTATTTCAATATGGAGAATTTACAACTTTTTTTTTACTATAATAACAATACTAAAAATAAAATTAAGTAAAGCTATGCGCATCAACAACTCATGTAGAAAAATTAATCACTTTTGTTGGGAAATGAACTTTAGTGTGAAAAATTTACAACTCTGTTTACAATGATAATAGTATTAAAAATAAAATCAAAAGAAGCTATGTACATTAACAACTCCTATGGAAAAATTTATCACTTCTATACGGAGAATGAACTACTCTTGTAGGAAAAATTTACAAGTGTCTTTTAATAGACTTAAGCCACTCCCATAAGAAACAAGTGGTACTAGTTAAATGAACAACTGTAGCATTCGAAATTAGCAACTAGGGTAGGAAAAATGAATAGCTTGAGTTTGAAAAATGAACAACTTGTGCACAGCTTTGCAAATTAACAACTTATATTAATAAACTATTATTTACATTAGCATCAAATCTTTTTTCCTGTACAAATGAATCACTTTACAAAAGGCATCCCATTCCAAGAAATCCTATTTACAAAGATCTACTTATATCAATAAACCTTTTTTACAAAAAGCAATCCATGCCAAAAACTAAATGAATTGTGTGGATGCATTTATATACAAACTCTAAAGACAAATTTTGCTAAGCTAAGCTTTCTATATTATAGGATCTTTACATTCTCAAACATGCTTGAACCTGGCAGCACACTTTGCAAGGGAAACTGAGTGTTTGCTATCAATCCATGCCAAAAAAAAACTAAATGAATTGTGTGGATGCATTCATATACGAACTCTATAAGACAAATTTTGTTAAGCTAAGCTTTCTATATTGTAGGATCTTTACATTCTCAAAAATGCTTGAACCTGGGTAGCACACTTTGCAAGGAAAAATGAGTGTTTGCTATCACCAAATTGGGAGGACTCAATGAACTTCTCTATGCAAGTATTAACAACTTTAGCATGTTACATTAACAAATTAAGAAGTGTAAAGGTAAATTAACAACTCAGTATATATCAACTAACAAGTTTGTTAATATGAATTTTAAAATTATAGGAAAGCCAATTCACAGTTTACTCATGCTAAATAAAGTTACAAATTTCTCATATTAAAATTATTCATTTCCTTATAGCAATTACTTGTTTATAGGCCTACTTTCACTTGTTCATACATACACAAAAAAATACCATCACCATCACATATTTGCCAATCATGGCTTCGCATTTTTCTTCCTTTTCCATGACTCATGTTTCTTTCTTTCACTTGTGCTTCTCTTGCTTTCTCTGTTGTTGAGTAATCAATCCAAACCCTAGGATTTTGGATTTGGTTTGTTCTTTTGGCTTGCAACACTACAAATCTTTAAACTCAAGCCCGGATTCATTCAACACTATTTATTTCTTAATTTTTACTTGTCTGATATGATATATGCTTCAAGATGTCAACTATTTATGGAGCTCGCTTGATCGCCTTCAAAGATAGAGGAGGAAAGGGAGGAGGTTTTATATTTTTTTTTTAATCCAAAAGAGGGTTAATTTTGTCATTTCTCTTGACATTTTAATTTTACTTCATTACCCTGGTCTATAGTAAAGTTTAAGAATTTAAGGAACTTTCATTTTAATTAAGTGTGGTCAAAGAATGTAGGCTGAAATTTTCTCTTATATACCCTAATTAAATGTTAGAAAAATTATCAAAAATAATTTTTTTTTTGTTTTTATGAGGAAGTAAATGAGAAAATTTATTACATTTTAAAGCAAAGTTAATAAATTTAAAATTTTTTTAATTTTAATAAAACATGTAAAAAATAATTTATAAATTGAATCAGAGAAATACCTTCTTAAATAAAAAATAATTTTTGCTATTAATACTACGAGATAATTTTCCCCGTTATAATCCTTCCCGCTTCACAATCTAGCTATGGCTCTAAAGAAATCTCCTGAGGAACCTTATCCTTGCTGAAGAAACTCAAATGGTTTCAAACATTAGATTGTGATGAAGGTTTTTATTTTGGCAAATTAAATACTACTTCATTAATACTTAAACATACTCCCTCCTCTCTCAATTATAAGCCAAAACATGTCACAATTCTTAATAATTTTAGTTATTCTTCTTAATTATGTTTAAAATTGAATATAATTCTTTTTCCTCGGCTAAAATATACAATTAGAATGAGAAGCACAATTAGAAACATGCATTAAATACATTTAAAATTGGGTAACTTTTCCTTATAGCTAATAATAAGAAAATTTGATAGTTTATGCTAACTGAAAACATGAAACAATTTACACGAAAAATGTGTCTAATTGAAAAGCCAAGCTAACACTTGGCCGTACTAAGGTAATAACAATGAACACAAATGTGAAATCCAAACAAAATGATTACATCAATAACTGAATCCTGAAAGACAATAAGCATTATATTTTCAGCTCAATTTATATTTCCAATTAACATGAGCAAGAGCTACATCTAAAGAAGATTGGTATCAGCTCTTCCCTCCGGTATTACCAGATAAATATCACAAGTAGCAAAATTATTATTATTATGATTATTTTGAAATTATATACAAACTCGTGGAATCACACCTCAGGGACTTGAATATATATGAACTCAAGTAGTCTATGTATTAATACTAACTGTAGTTTTAAGAGTGAGCACAAGAGATCACAACCGATCTCAATTTCTCACCAACAACCGAGCTGCCAAATTACTGTTACATTTAATGAAAGAGGAAGACAATGAAAGAATTGCCTTTTGAAAGCTACGCTATATCCAATTTTGTCGGGAACTATACATCAGTACCTGGTTGACCCAGCCCTGCAAAAATCACAGAACAAGGTCAATCAATACAAGATAACGTTCAGAAGATAACCAAAAGTTGATCAATCAAGGCATAGACTAAAGGCTACATGCCTTATGACATCATATATACCTTATGAATCAGACCAGTGACACACTTGTCTTAGGACTCTCACTAAAAATGCCCAGAAAAACCATGACAATCATATAGCAATGGCTTTTGAAATAGAGGCCTTTTAGCACTAACTATAATGGTGTTGCAGGCCTTTCAAACAACCAGACTTCTAACAATATAAAATCACTTCATGTTCATAGAAGGCCTTCCACTGCCAATCCAAATCATAGAGGCCTTCCGCTGCCAGGTGGACATCCAAAGACCACTTCATGTACAGCTTGATCATGGAACATGAGTGCTCTTTCAGGAGATGCGGGAGAAATTTAAAGGGGGTAAAGGGTTAGATTACTGATCATGCGGTTGTTTAGTGCGGGACAACTCCATCTTATCTTTCAAATGTGTTTCAGTTACTCCTCTATTGAGCTATTTTGCTTTTGCTGGTACAATTTGCACATTATATGGGCTCGGACTCGATGGTTTTTAGGCTCCCTATCCAATTCAAATGAGTTTAGAGCCGTTTAAAGGATTATAGCCTGTGCCTGCCAAGTAGCTGAATTGGATCAAGAACCGTTTTAGTTTAGAGACTCAGGATCCCTCTGCCCATTCTATTCCCTCCAGATATATTGAATGCTAAAGAATGACTGACTCTAGGGGTTGAATGGGAAAAATGACTCTAGCGCTGGAATCCTACATCAATAAATTTTTTCATGCAGATAACACAACATATTACCAAAAGGTTTTATTAACACAAACCAAGCAACATTCAGGCATCACAAGTTAACCAGATAAAGCACATTGTTAAGTAACAATACACCAGAGGCAACTGAAGGCTTGGGCCATTGATCATTCTTCAATCTTTCCTATAGTTTGTGCGTAGAAATACAGGATCCAAGAAAACCGACACCAGCATGCAACCAAATCCTTGTCCCCCCACCCCAAAAAAAAAAACAAAAACAAAAACAAAGAAAACAAAACAAGACAAGACAATACAAAACAAAACAAAACAAAAACACAAACACAAAAACAAAAACAAACTAACTTCCTTCTAATCTCTTATAGCTTATCTGCCTTTAATAATAATTAAAAAATGTAGATAATAAGATTCACCCAATTTATATTTTGAGAATGAGTTGGTTGAACTTGAAAATTCACTTGTTGAAATTGAAAAATTGAATAAGTAAATAATTGAATTGGTTGGATGGTACCAATAAAATCCACCATTAACACCCCCCCAACAATTTCTTATTGAATTCTTGTTGAATTTACTGATCAACTTGTTTTAACTACAAACATTCAAGTCTACATTGGCCAAACATACATGCTTCAAATGGGCAAGGGAAAATCAAAGAACCAAATTCATACCTAAATAATGGTTTTCGCTGCTGTTCTGGCCTGTCCATACCATCTTGCACAATTACATCTGAAGCTGACCGGTCTGTTCCACCAGGCAACGTGTCTACAATGTCTATCAAGCCCTGCAAGTCAAATATGGTATATCCTCAGAAGTTTTGTATTTCAAAAGCACCAGGATACCAAGCAAATTGAAGTAAATAACACGACGTTACTGGAATGCGAGCACAGCTGCTCTAGCAACAAAGAAACGTGAAGAGGGTTAATTTTCCACTATGGAAATAATCCAATGCTATGTTTGGGAACATGTGAATTTTGATTTGGATTTGGATTTGGACCAAATTCCCTATTTAGACTATTTGGACACTTGAAAATTTTATGGAAATCAAAATTTTATCTTAATTCCTTCATAATTTAAAATCCTTTCTAAACCCTTGTTATTTCAAATCTCCACATGCACCCTCAAAACACTACCTAATAATAATAATAACTTTTGTTATTTTTAGATACATGGATTTGAAATGTAAGAGTTGAAATCCAAATTTCAAATCCAAATCTACCAATCGAAACGCTGCCTAAAATTATTCTTTCATGCTGGACAATTGATCTAAAATGAATGGAAGTAAACTTCACTGTAGAAAGAGTTTATTTTAGTTATCAACGATAGGATAATGAATTCAGTGAGTATTATTTTCATCTTAATATACTTTAGCAAATATAGATCAACAAAAAAAAAAATTGTTCTAGAACATATTAGAAATGACAAAAACGAAGTTTCTCTGTGGGGGAAAGGAAATAAGAACAAGATAGGGTTAAAACCTTGACATTCGGGTTTCCAGAGTATTTGAGCAAACCGGGGGGCTTCCCAGGAAGTTTTGGCTGCCCCTGCTACATATTTACCATATTATGTTAGATGATAATCTATAAAGGAAAAACCAAAAAATAAAATTGACAGCTAAACAACTAGCATTATGAGCAATTCTAAATGTCACTTAAACATCCACAACAGAGGGTGAATGATATCACATTTCTATCAACAGAAGGACAGTGTCAAATGTCAAAATAAAGTTTGCATATCTAGCAACCAAAGGGTAAGGAAGGGGACACAAAACACACAAAAAACTGCAGTAAAAATTACAATTACCTGCAAAAATTCAGGACTTTTACTCGATTTTCCATTTACAAAGTTGATGAGGTACTCCAAACCATAATTTGCATAATCCTGCAATCACAATATTTTATCAGCACTTCATTTAGGTGATACAACAACAAGAAGAAGAAGCCTATTCCCACTAGGTGGGGACCTTTAGGTGATACAATGTAAAAGTAATAATCTAAGCACCAAGATCAGTCATACATATCGGTAATTAGCCAACAATAATGTCATACATATCAATAATTCTATTACAAGAATCTTTTTTAATGTTTGTACTCTTCATCATAACACATAAAAGCTCAATAAGCATAATAATACCTTTCAACATAAAAATAATTTTGTACTATTATTGTTAATCTTCAACCATTTTTTAACATAAGAGGATTCATTAAAAAGAGAATAGGTATTAAAAGAGGATTCTTCATGGATGAAAAGACAATACAGTAAGTACAGGAGAACATTTTACCTGCTTCCAACTCAACGTAGCTAATCTTTCATCCTGAAAAGGAATAATAATAATACAGAGTAAGAATAGTCCAGGAAAAGACAGTAGTGTTTTATTTCTCAATTGATGAGTTAGGAGTTCTTATGCTGCAGGTAGACAGATTCCAGCTAAAGCAGAGAATAATCCAAAATCAAAGCAAGCCTACCCAGAGCATTCATTTCTTAAAGCAGAAAAGGAGCTCACAAAACTTAAAAGCTTTCAATTTTGTTTTTAAAAAATAAATGGCAAACACAGGAAAAAAAAATTGAAGCAAATAGATCTTTTTGTCTAAAAATATATGCTAAACTCCAAGCATCCATCCATCTTCATAACTCTAAACAAACAAAACCACCAAGACAACCAATAATTAGCCAAATAAAGATAACAAAGCATACCAACGTTTCCACCGTTTGTTGCAAGATACCCAAGTCATCATGGAAATTAGTGATTGTGTTTCGAACTCCAGCAACCTGTTTCAGAGGTATAACAATATCAATAAGGTGCTTAACATTTTTCTCATAAGTTTATCCAAAAAGAAAATGTGACCCAACTAAGCTTATGACCATAAATCATATCATTTAAAGAGGAGAAAAAAAAACTATCCTACACTAAAAAGTTACTTGTTACAAGCAAGATATGCATTTATACAACTACCTCCTTTTAATATTTAATCCTTCCTTCTAAATTGCAGGCGGACAAATATCAGCTAAATACATGGGTAATCTCTTTTGACTATACCTATCTTTCTATTTAAGCATATTTAGAATCATGAACATCTATATGTGACATTGTGTCAAAGGGCATACATCATCCTTGATCGAACGTGCCAACTCATTCTGCTTCAGCATTTTATCATCCAAATTTTGAATTCTCTGAGTCAAATGCTTCTTGGCATCCTGCATACGAAAAAAATTGATAGGAAGTTAAAAGATAAACCAATCATAATTATAAATATTATAAACATTACATAATTTCCATGGAAAGACAAAGCTGCTTTGTATCCCCCCAAATTCACATGTATGGAGAGCAGAATAAACATTTTCAGACCATCCATGGGTAATGGTATCAATATGTCATGTGAATTAAATAAAACCATACATTGATCATCAACAACAAATGGTGCATCCAGTACTTTATGAATATTAGTCCAATCCGTCTCAAACTCTTAAACCTCATATTTCATGAGTAGTAATACAAATAAGCACATTTTTAAAGTAACTGTTAGCAGCATTTCCACACAACTGAAACGATGATAAAATGTATTTCAATCACCAGGTTAATGTAAATTAAATTTTATGACAGCAGCATTCATATCAATGGCCCTTCATCCCCCTTCATGTGCACTGGTAGGATGCGCATTCACATGTTCAAACAAAACACTGCATGTTTGAATGTTCCTAACTAACATGAAAAAAAAAAAATTAACTCCAACGAAATAAAAGGACACTTACAGCAATGACATCTGAGGCATGCTGCAGCTTTTTTGTCAGATCTAAGACAGCCTTTTCCATGTTACGTTTTGTCACATACATAAGATCTGAGAAAGAAATACCCTGATATTGAGTAAAAAATGCAAAAGATCAATAAACCAAATCACAAACTGCTCGGAGATAATAAAAAAGATAAATCATTCAGAAGAATTCTGTAGTTATCAAATAACTATGTAACTCTTCAAGAGAAATTTTTTAAACAGATACTGGCAAAAAAAAAATTAACAACAATAATAATAATAACTTATGACAAAAATAAATCAATGAAGCCCACTGAAAACCCCACAATTGCCCTAGTCATTCCGTACCTTCCACCACATGTAACCATACCCTAGAGCACCCAAGGTGGCTGCCGGAACCACAAGGGATGATAAGTTGCCTAGAAAAAGGATAAGCGCAATAAAAGCAGTCAAGACTCAATTGCCCAAAAAATATCCAAAAAAAAAAAAAAGTGGAATAAGCTTCATGAAACGAATTGATGCATGGCCAACTTTAAGATAGAAATAATTTCTCTCTAAAAGTAAAATGCAGTACTTGAAAATAAATCACAGAATATACTGCAGTAACCAGAATAGGAAGTAAATTGTACCCATTTGCCCAGTACTCCCATTCAATATAGTGATTGGTTTATTTGCACCTAATTGTCGAACCTCATTTGCAAGACGACGAACCTAGAATGAAGTCAAGCTAAATTATCATAACAAGATAATTCATACGTATTTTGTGTGTGCATTTTGGAAACAAAAATTGAGATATTCAATTGGTTCAAAGATAAAAATAATTTTTCCAACTACCTGATTAGCAATGGCATCAGCATATTCACTGTCACCATCAGATTGATCCCCAGATTTTTCCAATCCTTTTACCAGCGACTACGAATAAAAATGTATAATAATCCATTAGGATAGGAAAAATCTAGATACCCTAAAAATTGTAATTGGACTTCTCGGTCCTCAAATCTGGAAAACACCATGCAGAAGCTAAATTCGTAAATCATCCAGCAGGACTGCGGGAGGAAACACACATGAACTACTGACAATCTTCCATGTATATTTAGATCATTATGAGTCAGTTCGATTATATAGGAACCCACCAATACCCTTCACAACGATCGCCAATTAGAATAAAGTAACAAAAAAATAAAAAATAAACAACTATTTAGAGAACCAATCATCCCCGCCTCCACAAAATTAGGTCTCCCCAAAATTCCAACTATGACATACAATCTAGGGAGAGCTCTGTTCCTAAATTTTAACGAATGGGATTGTAAAAGAAAAACTGAAAAGTAAAACCGCATCTATAGCAGCGTGAACTCAGTCCAATTCGATTAAGCAACAGAAAGTAGCAATGATTACAACCTGAAGCTCGCCAATCAGCTCCGACAATTTCCCGTTCTTAAAAAGAACCGTGCCAGTGTATCCTGGACACAGAAAAACTCAGATCAAGAACGCTGGTTCGAACTTCATCAGCGACTAAAAGAGCGAAAGATATATAGAGAGAAATAGTGTGTGCAGTAGTAGTTGTACCAGCTCCAGCTATAATAAGGATCTTCGAAAACCCTATTCCAGATTGTAGAGCCATGGCTGCTGATTCCGATGATGAAAAAGTCCGAAGGCAGTTGACGTCGGATTTGGCACCTTGAACTTGAAGTAGCTGATGGATGCCCACCCTATTTAAGAGGCAACGCAAGGTGGGCAACCGACGTCGTTTTGCAGCCAAATTCCGTTAGGCAGCTCAATTCTCAATACGAACCGTTCGATTTATCTGATGCTGTGGATCCTGCCACATCATTCATTACTTTGCTCCATATTAAGTAGAATACTTTGCTCCATTTAACAGGCTTCACCCTCCGTAAATTTGTTTGGGCCTAAAAATTTATGAAAAATGAAAATTGGGAACTCTTCAATTTTCAACTTCTTCCATTTTCCTGTTTGTATGGGCCCAAAACAAAAATTTGAAACATCTTCCTAAAGTTATTTCGTTTGGACTAGGTTTTACAGAGGAGATGAGAGCTCTTAATCTCTTGTTCATAAAAAATAAAATAAAATAATTTATGAAACTCAAATTGGTCACTAATCAAACCACTATTCATGGTTTAGTGGTTGAGCTATAGTTAAATTGGCCATAAATAAATTAATATATTTTATATTACATATGATTAAAATAAAAGAAAATAATCATCCATATTAATAAAAATAAATATTCAAATCCAAAAATAATATAACAAATTTAAATATATGGGCCCATTCATATAGCATATAAAATATAAATAGTGTGAATATTCAATAAATTTGATAGATGCATTTATAAGCTGATTATATGTGTAATTGTTATTAGTTTTCAACCTTAAGTTTCCAAAATTATTTGCATAAATTAAATCATTATGTAAAGTACACAATTTTCCGACCATGCGTCCCAGAAAAAATTCAATTAAAAACACTAATGAATTTATACATAAGGCTTTCAATGATTATTATATGCTTATTAGAAGAATAACTGAAAAAATTATTTTAAACGTGTGATCTAGCAAAAATCATTCATTAAAGATGAGAACAAAATTCCAATGTTCAATTTGAGATATTTGATTTTACAGATTGCACCCATTGAATTTGACTTTCAGTCAAGAGCTATATATATATATATATATATATGTATATATATATATATACATATATGTATATATATATATATATATATTTATATATATATGTAATCTTAGAATTTTGAATGAGCAATATTTATTATTATTCCACCACACATATAGATGGATATTAAAAGAAAGTTTTAGGATAAATGTTGGGTAAGAACCTCCTTTTTTATTGTCTCTAAATGAAATGAAGAAATATTTCTAAAAGATTAAGAGACTTATATTGCATGATTAGATAATTGTCATTCGATGACAAAGCTTTCCCAACATATGAGGGGGCGGAAATGAGAAGTTGGAAAAGAAAATTTATTTCTTCTTCTTCATAAGTTTATCAAATATTCATTCATAAACTATTAATATGCTAGATACAATTATTGATTTAAATGAGAATTATTAAATTTCTTATTCCAGCTATCAAAATTATCCAATTAGTATAAATGAAAATGACGAAGACATGCTTGAAGCATGAATTGAAGATCAATCGGTTTCCAAATATAAATTTTTACAAAAAAAGGGAGAAAAAAATTAAGAAATATTATTTATTTAGGAGGTAGATGCTCCTTAAGAGAAACAAGATATAACTAATTGTAAAAACTCTAGAAGAGGTTCGAGTACTTAAAAGTACTAAAAATCTCAATAAGTTACGTGATAACAGCAAAAATGAAATCATAAAGGAAAAGATAGAGTTGTCAACAATATTATTGATATAAAAAATATCATGTGAGCAAACGAGGATCTTGTACACAAATATTTCATGAAAAATAGACAACAAGATAATTGGCCAAAGAAAATAAAAAGAAAAAGATGTAATATGTTCAAGTAGAATTACATTTTGTAACTCCACTAAGTTAACCATATTTAACATATTACCATGATAATTAATTAAATATTGGTCATATAAGGCTACCATTGAAAATAGCAATTTGACATAATGATTCACTCGACTATTCACTTAATTAGGAAGGTTGAAAAGTATGGCCTAGATAATTAAAGATAGATGTACCCTATTGAGCATAATATGAAAGTTCTAAAAAGGTATGTGAAAAATTGAAGTTGACTTAAGGGTTGTATTGCTAAAAGGTACATAAATGAAGAGGGAGTTGAATCTTCTTAGGAGTATTTAAAAGATGGAAAAAAATGTTAGGCTTCCAATGGATAGCATATGGCAAAGGAAGATGAGGAAATGATAGTTGAAAAGAAATTAATCACTATATCACATAACCATTAGGAGCAAGCACACCTCTTTGTATTGCATAACTTGAATGAGATTCTCGAATATGTTGACAAGCACAATGCCGAGCTTAGGAAGGACAACCCTAAAAGAAATGACACTGCAATTACAAAACTTCATAACAAGAACTTCAAACATTAGTTGAAGGTGCATATTGCTGCCAAGTGTAATGCCAACCAAACATTGGGTATTGAAAGGAGTTAGATGCTTGTCCAAGGCTCCAAACATACAAGTCCTTTCTTATACTAATTATGTAATCAATGGCTTCACATTTTATAGTAAAGAGCAAGATGAAAGAAGCATAATGTAAAATAGTAGTGTAATTGTGATTGGTAAAGCAATGTGTGTATCTAGTACTAAAGATAAAATTTCCATATATGCAAGAATGTCATACTTCAGAGTTATTGAGCACATATAGGAGTTAGACTATAGTAAGTTCAAGATTTTGGTTTTTGGTTATAAGTGGATTGATAATGAGAATGTCTTTCACATGGACAATAATTTAAGGTTCATATAAGTGAATTTAAATATACTAGGCTAAAAGATCGAGCCTTTCATTTTCATATCACGAGCTAGGCAACTGTTTTATGTCATTGATCCTGTTTTATTAGGTTGGTCGATTGTGTTATTGTTAAATAAAGAATTTAGAGAGGCCATCAGTCCATTAAATATTATAGTTAATGATAATCCATTTGAAGGGATGACACTTGAATGTAATGCCATCAAGATGACACCAACTATATTAGAAGTGATCACAAAGATGGTACTTAGATTTTAAAAAGAGGAAAAAGAATAAAAGACAAGATTAATAAATTAAACCAAGCTGCCAAGTTGAAAAGGTTCAAAAGGAGACAAGAAAAAGAAAAAGACCAACTTAAACATATGTTAGTTGTTTATGCTATTTGTGTTTCGATCAATTAATTTTGTTTGTAACTTATGTGATAGGTAAATGGCTCAAAAAATAGATTCAGAGAGACATAAAGTCACTTCTAGTGTCACTACTCCCATAAACCCTACTCTTATTGCTATTGCTCCAGCTAATACAACTCCCAGTGCCACTTGATATTGCTCCTATTGACATTAAGTATATGGACCTTTGAACAATCCTCCTAGTGCCACTTCCAGTCCTGACAATGAGGATCTTTCTACTATTCCCACTAGCATGAATAAGAAAGAGGAAGCTCAAATGTCTAAAACAATCAAGAAAGGTCTAGTCATAATGGAAATGGTGTCTAGGAGGAGGTTGGCCGAACTTAAATATTCCCTTGAATGGAATCCTAAGGATCAACCAATAAAGGAAAATAAGCATAAATTTAGTAGTTATATCAGTGTAATAATTCAATCATAGCTTGGCCTATTAGATAATGATTGGCGTGACGTTGATGAAGTGATAAGGGAGTCGCTATAGAGATTGAGGTAAAATTAAAATTCTTAGTTAATTGGTTGTGTTTTGGAATAGGTGGCATTTCATATAACTTATGCCTTGATTGTGTTATTAAACAGGCAACATTTCATATTGACGTTACTCGGAAGAAATGTGTCTTTGATTTGGCAGCCAAGCCATATTGAAAATTCTGGTACTACGTGGGAATGAAATATATTACCTTGGTTGAAAGAATCAACGGTGAGGTTCTCTAATAAAGGATGTGGAAGTAAAATCATGTTAGTTTAGGGACAGAACCATAAAACAAAACAAAAACATAAGAACAAAAAGAAAGTGATGAAATTTATGATGAAAATAAAGAAAGAAATGAAATAAATAATGGAATAATGATCAATAAGAAGATCCTTTAAAGCACCTACATTTAGAAACCTCAACTTTTAAAGATATCACAAGAGTTGATCAAGCTCTTGATCATATCTGTTTCTCACATGGGATACCACCATAAAGCATTAAGGCTTACAACAATTATAAACTCTGAAATGACTAATTTCATTCAACTTCTCTTCTATTTTACAAAAGGGAGCACACCTAATACATATAAGCTCATAAAAAAGACAATTTCCTAAAATTAGAACCATAATTTCCTAATATTAAAAGGAGAATGAACATAATATAAAATAAAGAAAAAAATATTCAATCACATAATTTAAGAGATATAATCATAAAATTATGGAATTACAAAATTTAAAAAATAATATAACTAATCCTAATCTTTGACTAAACTTAAAATAGAAAACTATAACTAGTCTTACTCCTTAAGAAAGAGAGTCAAGTCAAAGGACCATTAAATTAGGAAACAATTAAGAAGACAATCAAGGGATCATAAGGGACTCAAAATCACACCACCCTTGACCTCTTCATTAAGGTTTCATGCCTCTTTGCTTGTAAGAGGCTTTACTTATAGTCTTCCTTACATTGGGCTAGGGTTTGCAACTATTGGGCTTGAATCTTCATAAACTTGGGCTTGTGACACAACTTTTTCATGGAGTGAACCTTCTAAATGGATGTTTATCTCATTAATCACGTCCATACACATGCATGGGCTATTTGAGCAACCTTTTAGGCTTGAATAAGGTTCATTCACATTCTGAAACTCCTATAGTTCGTTAGGCAATGCATTTGAGACCATTTAACATATTAAAGCTCCATTGGATTCCTCTATGTGTATATAACAACATTGGGCCTTTAACAAATTGGAAATTGACCCATAGTGGCTTTAGAGGTGGCCTATCATGTGTTATGTCATATTCCATATGTGCAATTATCTATGTCAATGTCCATGTGATCCTTTTATATTTTTGGGTCACTGGTTGATTGTTGGCCTTAATGTTTCAC